TATTTGTTTTATACTTCCTTTCTTCTGTGTAATTATTGAATGTTTTGTCAGCACCGTTAGCTACCATACGGTGGCGTTCTAGTAAACATTATTGTCGTTGTAATTGTATTGATGTGATCAGGTCAAGCTACGAGGTGTATGTTTGTATAGAACTCTAAGCAGTAATGGTCTCATGTTATCTGAAATCTGTGCGGATGGCACATCTACCAGTTTAAAGCAAATGATGAGTACCTCTACTTCTTAAACAATACAGTGCCCAAACTACCATGTGCTTAATAGACATGCCTTATCAATATACCTTTTTTATCTGAAAAAATGATTCACCAAATCATATCATATTTACTTTTATGGGGATACCACCACCCTGCTGATCCGGGTTGGGATGGGTTTTCAGCAACCCATAGTTGTCGTCAGAGGCGAGTAAAGGGATCGGGTATGGCGCTAATCGATACTTATGATGTCACTCACTAGATTGTCTGAGCTATACTCTAGTACATGTATGTACAGACCGCAGCGTAGATGTGTAACCGAGATTGTGTGGGTATCAAGGAAGAACAGACACAGACTACGGGTGCAAGTCTATCTTAATTTATCTTATAAAGCGACACCCTGAAACATATGAATGGGAATAAGTAATAGTTTCAGGATAGACAAATACACAAGTCATATATAAATAAATAAAAACCAATTTATGTCACATGCCATTTCAATTACAAAAGGGGTAATTCTAATATCATTCCTCAGAAAACATACGCAATAAATGATACTGTACAGAATAAATCATATACCCATTAACACATTTTGAATGAGTTGAATAACCAGCAAAGAACGAGAATTCCTTGATAATACAAACACAAGGCAAATACTTCACACCAACGCACAAGTTGCGATTAACGTTAAACACACTGCGTAAAAAAAGATAGAGAACACTATGTTTCCTACATAATTGCAATATATATTACACAATAAAAGTGAGTGAGTGAGTTTGGTTTAACGCCGCTTTTAACAGTATTCCAGTTATATCGCGGCGTGTCAGCTTAATGTGGGAGGAAAGCCCGAAGTGATGCAGGTCTCAGACGTTTACCACTTCGGTGAAACCCATAAGCACGGGTATGGTGCTGACAAACCTAGAAACATCATCGGGGTGATCCGGGATTCGAACCCACAATCATAGGTGCCCAATGGACGCAACTCTGCACAGCAAATCGCGGCGCCTTAGACGACTGGGCCACCCGTGCTCCCCACACAATAATAATTCACGTCTTCGGGAGAAATAAATGGCTGCTATAAAACAAATAAACAAACCACATTCAGAATATTCTAAATGCGCATATGTATGTATGTATGTATGTATGTATGTATGTATGTATGTATGTATGTATGTATGTATGTATGTATGTATGTATGTATGTATGTATGTATGTTTGTATGTATGTATGTATACAAAAATAAGACTGAATGAGGTATTGTATACATTACTAATGAACTGCATGACGATAATGCATATGACATGTCAGGTCATACCTCTGTCATTCGTCCATTCATTCGTTCTATCATCCAAGTACTTATTACACCGTAACTAGGACATTAAAGCATATGTGTTATGAGTATTGATGCTGAATAGTATTAAACTTATGCATAAACGCCATTGCACAAAATATACACAACTACGCAAGTATACATTCTAGCAAACATTATTTTACAGTAAGTGTACAGCACTTAAAACATTATTCTACTAATTATACTTACATCTGTTGTTTATTGTTACCTGTGTCCTGCGATGTGATCTGTGCTCTGAGACGTGCTCTGGTTGTTGTGAAGTGCACTGGCTGACGTGTAAGAAGCGTTTTGTATTTTAAAACAAGCCAATCAGCACAAGGCGCAGCATGAGAACATAACACAGGAAATTACACAACACATTCAACTTAACACTTTTAACGTTATTCCACGACTGACAAAGAGTCCACCATTACAAGTAGAGGGGAGGTCACATGACATTGTCAGAATCGTAGGGTTTTGCCACTTTATTTACACAAGAAAACGTTGATGCAGAAAATGCAGCTTGATTTTACTACACGTAGCTTCTGCATGCCAGAAGTGAAAGGCATGAAGCTACATAATGATACTTACCAGTTATAAAAAGAGGTTGGTATGCAAAACATAATATTTAGTACGAGTGTTCATCTATACAGTAACTGTTGCATCATTTGCGTAACAGCGACGTTTCGGTTTAGATCCTTACTCTGTTGTCAACAGTATAAGGATCTATACCGAAACATGACTATTACAATGAAAAAAGGAAGTTGTTCTCCATAAGCTTTTGTCAAGTTAGCATCCGTCAACTTCTAAGAAATGTCCATCAAACACTTCATGTATTCAAGTTAAATTCCTGATCAGACCAGCAAGGAGAGAAAAGAAAAGAAACAATACTAATAATTTGTATAATATTGTTAAAAAATGAACGGTACCAATAACAGATACATATATTAATGCTCATTGTGATTAATTATTGCATGAATATTTCGGCTTCGTTTTCCGTTGATGTGTGTCCCCCGCTGTGATATTGCTGGCGTAAAACCACACTCACTCACTCGATTTCCGTTGCGACCTTGTCATTAACGGAAAACAAGATTGTATTGCTTTGGTTTATTCTACTGCTTGAACTTAGAACGTACCATGAAGTAATTGGGACTTTTTCACATGATTGTAAGATAGCCTTCACCATTTGTTGTGTAGTTCGTTAGTTAATTATAATTACCTACTTGTGTCTAGAGTCAGTGTTTTATGTTATGAAGATGTTGACATTTGTATTTGAATCGCTTTAGGCCTTTAATTCAATTAGAAATTCCCCAAGGTTTTAAATGTTTAATACCCAGGTCTTTACCTCCAAGACCATACTTTACGAGAATCAATGGTTTGTAGGGGTCGATATTCACGATCTTCAACTTTCATTATGTTTCCTTATAGAACTTTGTGAGTTACAAACACGTATGCACTGAGGACATTGGGATCTTAACCTCTAACAAATTAATAAACACGATTCCAATCTGCTAACGTATAGACCAGCTACACTAAACAATCAGCCAAATGGTTTTAACACGTGTTGAAGAATAGTTCTCAATAGTCGCAGTGTTAATCATCTTAAGAAATCAATCAACATTATAATGCCTTCTGAAAATGAAAATTAATATGATTGGCTTTTTCCTTTTCACTTTGCGATTAATGTGGTGAATCAATATTCCTCGTACTTAATCGTAAACCAGCTATAAGTGACAAGAGTTATTCTCAATGCTAAAAAGAAAGACATACCGGGCATAGACGGTCGCTTGAAAATATGAAGACATTGTCTTATACGGATATATTGTTCAAACATTCCTATTGGATCATAGCAGCCTTAAGCAAAACAAAATAATTTGTAGTTATTATGCCGCTATAATAACTGCTAAAAATCCGATAAACAAATATATGGTTCATTCTAACTGGCTGCTTTTCTTCAGTTGCTCCATATTTGCCATAGTTTTCAAAGGTGACTCCAGCAACACAACATTATGGGAAGTATAAATTGACATTAAAAAAACTGTTTCCATAATCACAAGAAATATCTGCGAGAAGCAACGCCCATTGCATGGAAATAACTATAGTCTGAAAAGACTTTTAGGATATTATGAATGATTTAGTCTACCCAGTTTGTTCATTTAAGAAATAAAAAGAAGTTACTGAGACAAAACTGTCTTTATGATTTACACAATTGATTTAAAAATTGACTTTCACTTTGTGTCAGTTCATTGGAGTATGAACCTTTACAGAGTGAGGGCCAAACTGCGACGAGGGCCAAACTGCGAGCTTGCGATGTTTACAATGTTTGGCCCTCACTCTATGAAGGTTCATACTCCAATGAACTCACACAAAGTGAAAGTCAATTCTTATAATTTTTTATCTCAATTTCTTACCTCAAAGGATGTAGGCCAAGATCTAAACACAATTTTATTTAGTACGTGTGACTTCATGTTTACACTGAGAGCCATACAAAAACCAGCTATATCGCGGAGTAAAATAGTTCCTCAAAAAGAGAGGTGACATGAGCGTATGGATGCACAACTTGCTCTTCAGAAACATCTTATGCAGCACATGTGTTCAAATCATATCCTCATTAGATGAGAAAGTTCTGTAAAGAACTACCTTGGTAAGTAAGTCACAATGACAGCGCGTCGTAATACATTTACATCAAGTACAAGACGTCAAAATGGCCGACACGAAAAACGTGACGGGAGAGATTTCCGAAATTGTTAATGAACCTGTGGCGGTTACATGTGTCATCATTGATCAACTGACCGATCATTGAAAGGTGAATAAAGATGCGTCAAACAAAGACTAAGGTAAATTCATAGATTGCTGGAGACAGTCACTGTCAGCCTTGACACGAATCGAGTCGATACTACGATAGTTTAGATGTGCATTTCTTCGTTTGTTCATTAGGATAGGCCGAAGCGAGGATATTCGTGAACAATCATGCAGTTACGCTCTCTGACATTTCTCAATGTATACTGAAACGCTCAGGCCAAGAATAAAGGTTCTAAATGATCAGAAAGAACGCTTATGTATGTTTTCGTGCTTGGCAATTCCCAGGGGTTTCCCCAGGAATGTGGAAGTAGTCCGTCAGTGTTTACGTCATTTCAAGAACACGGTCTCGTGAAAAACGTATGAACATCAAATTGTGTCATTCATACACTTATGAACGTCAATTTCACGGTCATGTGACCGACCTCTCGTCCAATGGAAAAGCCGTATATCGTGTAAACTTCAAATTAAAAAATTATACACCATTGAACATTTTCATGCGACGTGAGTATTAATTTTATACTCGAGTTGTACAGATACTATGGTGAACATGTGTCCTGTTAACTAAATTGGATATCGACTTTTCAAATTGCTACATGATGGCGGCAGGAATAAAACTTGTTATTGATTTGACGTTCAAAAGAGAAAAGAAACAAAGGAAGAAAACACTCCTGCTTCGATATTGATTATACAGGGTATGTTTAGTTTGACGTTGGCTCTTTAGTTTCTGGTTACTTGGACACTGACAGCGGGAGGCGGGTGGAGACATCGGCAAACAGTAACGGTAAGCATGACTCTGATCAAACTGCAGCTTTAAGACATATTGCATCAATGTATGTGCAAATAGCGAACTTCATGTGTTGATGTTCATTTTTGTAATAAAAAAGGGTAGTATACGAACATAAATGTATTTCAGTATGTGAATATAAAATAACCATTATTTTATAGTCTGATAGCTTTAGTGTACTCCAACTACTTTCAAACAAATCTGTGAAATATTACTGGTGATTGTACTGAGGGCATCTTTTCAACAACTTTATTGTATACTGGCAATGTGACGTTTTACACATTCGTGAGTTTGTGTGTGTGTGTGTGTGTGTGTGTGTGTGTGTGTGTGTGTGTGTGTGTGTGTGTGTGTGTGTGTGTGTGTGTGTGTGTGTGTGTGTGTGTGTGTGTGTGCGTATGCGTGTGTGTGTGTGTATGATCAATGACATGTTTTATTTTGATGAAATATTATTCACAAAAGAATGGAGTAGCTATGGGTACTAAGGTAGCTCCTACTTATGCAACCCTTGTTTAGGGATTTCTATGTATTATGATAAGGTGAGAGATACTCTTGGGAGTCTATGAAAGAACAAATTAAACATTCATTACTGTTTTATCATATTAGAAACGAGTGAAAATCAACTTACAGCTATACATGAAATTCTAAATTCGTTTATTGCGTCACTCAATTTCACTATGAAAAGAAGCGAATCCAGTTTAACCTTTCTCGATGTAAGAATAAATTTAATATCTGGGAGAATTTACAAACCGATGTCTTTTTTAAAGATACTGATACGCACCAATATTTGGACTTTTGATCATGTCACCCGTATCATACAAAACGTAATATCCCTAACTGATGTATTTGTACCATTATTTCTGGAAATAATGTTAAAACTACCCGCCTTGCTGAATTAAGACTTTCCTATTTTTGCATCAAAATTATCCCGCAAAGCTAATTGAAGATAGCATAGGCAAGGTGCCTAGTATTGAGCGACCAAAACTAAAGGAAAAGTCTGAAGAAAACGGGGAATAATTTAACTCTAGTATCTACCTTCAACCCTAATCATGAAAAAAACATTGTCCATGGTGAAACGATAGCTGCCTATTTCGAATGAAAGTATTAAAATTAAGCAAATAAAAAAAAAATTATCAACAGCCAAAGACATTCTAAACGATTCTAGGTTTATCGGCAACATTTCAGAATTATCACTGGTGATTTGATGACAAACAGATACCCATGATCACTAATATACTATTTTTGAAATCCAGTTCTTCGAGTAAATATCCGATATTTAGATTTCTAAAAACACAGTAAATAATACCGTGAATGGTGATTTAGAAACAATGACGAGATTTACGATATACCGTTATCCGATAAACCGATAATCTTCAGAGGTCACTTTCAGTAATTTTGCTTTGCCTAAATTGACAGTGGATGATATAACAGAAGAGCGAATTCACCACAGAATTAAAAACATGTTAGGAGTATTAGATCTAGTGTGCGTGATGTATTTTGAATAATCGACTTCGAAGTAAGGGTTGACGAGGAGGGACATTTATGTCGCTGTGGCATCCAAGGGGTTTACACTCTAAAAAAACATAACGTTCAACACAGACGTAGGTGAATATTCGACTGAAGCACGAGCAAGATATGAATGACTTACACTCAGGAAAGTAGTCCGTCACAGTCTGACCTCAGGTCATCACCATGGAGTAGCCAATCACGGGTCTGGAATTTGATCTCACACATATGTTTGATACCAGTTATGTCAAATGGATTTCTCACCCTCAGGTGTGTAAGAAAACTTAATGTCCGTTAGTCAGTTATGGCCTGATGAGACTCATACGCGGTACGAGTTGAATGCGGAAATATAAGCATACAGAATAATATTACTGTGGGCTGCGTCCATCCGATTTCAGAAGGGACGTTATATTTTCCAGAACTCGGTATGGATACAAGGGCATATTGATGTTTTTGTCGTCTTGTTTGTACATGTTATCAGGGGGCACAGGTGGCCCAGTCGTCTAAGGCGCCGCGATTCGCCGTGCAGAGTTGCGTCCCTTGGGCACGCCAGAAACCTATGATTGTGGGTTCGAACCCCGGTTCGCCCCGATTATGTTTCTAGGTTTGTCAGCACCAAACCCGTGCTCGTGGGTTTCACCGAAGTGGTAAACGTCTGAGACCTGCATCACTTCGGGCTTTCCTCCCACGTTAAGCTGATACGCCGTGATATAACTGGAATACTGTTAAAAGCGGCGTTAAACCCAACTCACTCACTCACTCACATGTTATCATAATTACATGCACGTCCATTTGAAATTTTTCTAAATACTCATAAAAATGCTTTTATGGTGAGGTAGAGGTTAATATGGTGCTTTGAAAGTATGCTGGTTGTGGGTACCCCCATAACATATGATGTTTCTTTTGTAGATGATGTACTACGGTCTTCTACAGATCTCACTTTTTATAGGTATGTTATTATTTAGGGTTTTTTCTTAACACATTTTATCGATTTTTCACAGATGGCAAATTATTCGAATGACTTCTTACCTATTAGATGACATAATGGTTGTAACAAATTATCCCATAACTAATTTGATATTGGCAACTTTCCTAACATCCTCCTGATGTTATAAACTTAGTGTTTGTTTTCATATACATTCAGGCACTTTAGTGTTAAATATCACGTCCATGCATTTTCATTACATTATGAAGAGCAAAGTTTGAATTTGTATGTAAATACACACGACAAAGCATTATATATTCTTTGTACAATTCGAGCTATATCAAGAACGTGTGTTTATCAATCACTTTCAAATCATGATACCAGGTGTTCGCGAAAATTTGAGAGAATCCTGCCCCACCGGTCTGAACATTATTGAGGAATAATATATACTCCATAAGACTGATTAATTATTTGGGCCAAATGCTGTTGATGTCAATTTGTATGTCAATTTTGCGATGTCATCAGTAGGTGGCGTTGCAATTATTATTAAATATAAGTGACAAAATCATAAGAAATCTCCACTTTATAATGACGACTATATCATAAGCATTACCCGTGAAGATCTGGGTTCGAACTTCAGCAACCCATGCTTGTCGTAAGAGGCGACTAACTAAATCGGGGGGTCAGACTCGCTGACTTATTTTGATGTACATGTATGTCATCTTATCCCAACTGCGTGGATCGATGCGCATGATATCAATCACTGGGTGTCTGATCCTGACTCGATTATTCAGTCCGCCGTCTTACAGCTGGAATATTGTTGAGTGCGGTGTAAACATCAAACAAACAAATAAACGTAAGCATATGTTCATGAATCACAATAAAAATAATGATACCAGGTGTACACGATCGGTGGCACCCGTCACAAACACGTGCAAAGACATTACAAATGTAAGACTTCGTATAATTCGCTTGTTTTACATATGATCATGTAAACCTTTCATGTTGGTTTTATTGGCCGTTGTTTTTTCACCATTTGTTGTCGAGACAAAGGCACCCGTGGAGATTCCGGGTAAAAAAACCCAGGTCCATGGCAATCTATATTTGTCCTAAAGGTGACTAAAGGGATCGGGTGGTCTTGCTCGGTGACGTGGTTGGTGTCATGTCGTCGTATCCCTGTTGCGTGGATAGATGCTCATGTTGTCAATCACTTAAATGTCTGGTCCTGACTCGAATATTTATAGACGCCGTCATACAGCTGGAATATTGCTCAGTGCGCCGTTACACAACAAACACACAAAGAAAGGAGACGAAGGCATGTCTATCGCCTCCGTATTTAATAAATTCAACGACTTATGTATATGTAACAATTTATCAGTATTTATGTTGATAAACTATTCAATATTCAAACCAATATTAAGCTGGGGTTAATGAATGCCGTACAGAAAGTTAATATGGAGGTTCACACACATATGATCTGATCCTGCACAACACCTATTTTTCTGACGAGTTTCTACTTCTAATAAACAGCAAATACCAACTGAACCAACTGATTCCAATTTAAACGTGGCGCACAGAGCATTCATTACTGAGTATATACATTATTTGCACCGACACAGCCTGTAACAGGTCCGTTTTCATTCATCCATTAAAGATGTAAAAATAGTTGTTAGAGAATTCAGAGTAGTTATGCATAAAGTATCCTATTCGCAAAGGTTGTCCCATGAAATTGATGAAGCAACGTTTTAGAGAACTGAAGAAACAAGATGAATCATTACATGGTGTTTTGATTCGGCTCCACCAATAACAATACGATTGATTCAGTATCAGTAATTTGTAACCAGGAGATACTACGAAGAAGGTATTTCCTGGTTTATTAAAATATATATCGAGATTGATAAGCAAATGAGATTTTCCTTGACGAGTTTGATACATGTAGCTCAACTATGAGGATGGAAATATTTTTAGTGGAAAAGAAAAAAACTTAATGGAATTCATATTATGTGGTGTAATAATGAGCGTCATTATTCCATTAGGGGCGGTCGGGTAGCCTAGTGGTTAAAGCGTTCGCTCGTCAAGCCGAAGACCCGGGTTCGATTCCCGACATTGGTACAATGTGTGAAGCTCATTTCTGGTGTCCCCCGCCGTGATATTGCTGGAATATTGCTAAAAGCGGCGTAAAACCATACTCACTCACTCACTCACTCATTATTCCATTACTGTGAAGGTATAATGACATATCGGTTTTTAATGTTACTTTTAGACGATCTTTTTCAATTTAAAGAGAGGGCGGTTGCATGACCGGGAAACTGAAGCTCTTAAGCGTGTGAACGACACATTTGGACTTTCATTAGATTTTCACAAGACTGTAATCTTGGAATAATGTGTACACTGACAGTCAATCTCCACATTCCCGGGGAAAACCCAAGGAATTACCTTTCACAAATACATACAGAAACGTTATTTCTGATCATTTAGTGACTTTAATCTCGAACTCAGTGCTTTAGCATACATTAGGAAAAGTCAAAGTTTGACTGCATGCCCATTCACGAATATCACCCTTACGATCCATCTTGGTGAACAAAACGAAAAAATGCACATCGACGCACCGCTACGTCCGTGTCTAGACGGAGTGTGACAGTCTACAGCAATCTATTAATTTATTTAGTATCTATTTGTCACATCTTTATAATAACCTTTCAATGATCGACCAGTTGATAATGTCTTATTTATACAGAGCTAAAGCCACAGCGCTTGGCTCCAAACATAAATATAAGGTATCTACCCGACAGTGGGACGACATCAAACTTGAAAACACAGTAGGTTTATCTCCTAGTATGTTAATCACTCTGTGAAGGTTCAAAGCGCTCTCTTGCAATGCGTACCTACACAGGGTACAAAGGTCTGATATTTCAGAAAGGGGTCACAGGTAATGTAACAAATATAACTAAAGTTCAATATTAAAATACACATAGTCTTGTCTAGGTCAAAATAGGAGTTCAAAACACATAGTTTTGCTAAAAGATGCTGCTTAATAAACCTTCAAAGGAAGTCCAAGGATATACGTTCTAATTTCATCGCAAACTGTTGCGCACTGTTAGGACTCACCAAATCATTTCTTGGAAATAAGCGGGACACAAATCATTTCTTGGAAATCAGCGGGACAAGTCATTCTTGAAAATCAGCGGGACATGTCATTTCTTGGAAATCAACGGGACAAATGATTTCTTCAAAATCAGCGGGACATGTCATTTCTTCAAAATCAGCGGGACATGTCATTTTTTGGAGATCGAATGTGTCATCTCCCATTGCAGGGGTGACATGTTGAAGAATAGTTTTAAAAAACTGCTGAATTTACTTTCAAACCAACTTTATTACCTGACATTCCGCTTTGTATTCTTAATGTGTAAGTATTATTAATAGTTAGTTAGCAATTACCCCCTTTAAATAATACAAATTCAAGTTCATGTGCAGCCAGTTGGTAAATCTTCAGGAACCAGTTAGCCACGCACCTGCATGCTGTGTGCAACAGGCTTGTCCCACATGTGCAATCCATCTATTACATGACCAATACGTATCAGAGGGATCACATACAATGTGTAAAAAAAACTGTACCTGTCTTCAAGAGAAATCGTAGGCGGTAACAAGGAGAGCATTTTCTGTTTTCCTGACTGATATTTAAAAAACCGTTATTCGTTATTCTACCATGAATTTGGAAATTATTCGATTCTGATTGGTCAATCAGAGGTATGAAATCAATATAACCACCTCTGAATGAAACAGCCGATTTGACGGCCTCATTCATCACCACCGAAGCTAATATTAATTTGATAAAAAAAAGTGCTTATATCTCAATCATTGTTGGTAGGCATTGTAAGTACTTATATGTACACTTACAGGTTATGAAATGCACATATTATGTTATTACAATATAAAAGTATGTGTACCAATACATCTTTGACAGACATCGACTAAGTGAATGTGTTTTTAAGTTGTAGGGACCACAGAGAGCTTGAAATTTGGTGTTCGTCTGGAGCCGAATGTGACGTCATTACGTTTGCGTCACAGTGAGCGCGATGACGCCATAATAGTGTCGTGCAGTGTCCTTCTACTTCCTTTTTGCTACAGGAAAAGCAGGACATGCTTACCCTGTTCGCGAACACCTGGTGTCATTTACCTATTTCGCCAAATGGAATGTTTGGGCAGATAATCAATACTAATTATTCCCTTGGGATGACGTTTCATAATTAATTCAGATCGACAGCCAACTCAATACAATCACACAATACCTTTGCTACGACCAAAGTGTTTATGTTTAATTTAAAGTATTAACCACGCTAAATTTAACAATTGAAACCTCGTGCAGCGCATTCGGTTCCAATTAATTTTTCATGTGATCTTTTTTTGTACACTCCTGAGTTGATCTACCGTATTCGACGTAATAAGCGCCCACGGAGATATTTGCTAAGATATTGGCAAGTGAACAATACCTATTAGCACCCCTACCGATTGACCAATGTACACAACACTTATTTGTTCGCGTATAATACGCACTCGTGAGTTATATGCACTCTTAATTATTGGCAAAAAATGTATCTCTTGTATATAATCATGTCAGGCTGTCAGCATAAACCACAAAATTTATTTTTCAATATTCTAATAAGAGCCCCCTTTTTTCTATTTTTGAGAGCGCCCTGGGCGCTTATTACGTCGAAAACGGTATTTGTTCAGTTCAACTGAAACCCAGTTCCGTATTACACGTATGTCACAACTGTTGGCCACTCGCTGAAAACGGATAGTTCACATGCATGGAGAATGCTTTCTGGGTGTGTATAAGTGAAATGAACTTCAAGGAAGTACTGTACTTCAATTTAAGAATGATAGGTGAATATAGGTCTGCTATTAATCGATCTGATCCACTTGGCCCAAGGTTTCTTCTTTTGTTCCCACAATGAAAACCTACAACATTCAGCGGAGGCTTGAACAGTTCAGTGAACAAATATTAAAACAAAGAGTGACCTATG